CCGCGAATCCATTCACCTTTTGTGTCGGATTTGTACGATTAGTATGATTACAAAATTTTACAAAGATTCACATTCGATTCAATTTTTGATTTAAATTGCTATAATTCCAATGATTTGCACAGATTCACAGATTAAAATAAAATTCAATTATTTTTGTTTATGCAATGATTTCATTTTTACCGACTTTTAACAATGGAATAAAATTTAACTCAACAATCAATACATTTTATATTATTGACTTTGTCAAAGTCCCAATGATTCATGAGATTCTTCGGATCCTTAGGATTCTTCGGATTTGTGAGTTTTGTGTTTTTTATTATAATTCAAATGGAATCGTTGGAATCAATGAAATTATAAAATTGAGTATTTTAACATAGATTTTTCATTTTGAATTGGTGTCTACCCCCTAGTGTTTTCATATGAAAAAAACTTACGATCTAACTTTTTCGCAGAGTAGAATTAAATTTATAATAAGAAAACAGATTTTCGTTCTCATCTTTGTTAAACTTGTTATACGGTACTCGTCTCGAATAGATGTCAGATGATCGCTTAAATACCGTCTTCAAATTTTTTACAGGTTGAGTAATTCTCATGTAAACAATAGATGAATAGTATTAAATTGCGATTAATGCAAAATAAATTTCTCTAATTTAGGAAGAAGCAACGAAAAAACTCATTTATTGTAATAAAATTTAAATTGAGATGTTCACAATGAAAGGTCAATTCCATGTCAGTCTGTGTGAAATTTCTCATATGCATATTTCAAATGTTTTTAATTATAAATAGCAGAGACTGTTTCTCAGAACAATACATGTGAGGAGGAGCGCTGTGAGGAGCCCGATGAGCAGTGTTGAAGCCCGATGCTAAGCTTATCATCAGTTGCGCCAATTTTGAAATTTGTTAATACTCTAGGCTTTTCCTCACTTATATTGCTCTGAGAAATAGTCTCTGATAAATAGGATCTTTCACTGACGACAATTAAATTAAAAAATAAGGCACTCTCTCTTCTGATGGTTGATTTAATTCTTCTGCATGTATTTTATATTATTACAAAAAACAAACATTTGAAAAAGCGACGGGAATATTATACGGCATGTTTGCATTAAGTTATAAAATTATTATCGTCAATAATTAAAAAGTGTGCGTGAGTCATTACGCGAAGAATTATTTTTTATTAAATTCCATTCGTTTTATTACGCAAATTACTAGAAGTTGTTTTTGACTACTAATGCTTTCTTTTGAGAAAAACAACCATCGACGCGGTATTTCATTGCAATTTTCTTTAAAAAAATATTGACTTTCGTTACAATATTGTTTAACCCACTCTCCACGACGGCATTTCGCTTTAAATTTGCGCGGACCCCCTTTTTACAATTTTATCTTATTTTAAATACTTCGCGTCGCCGTCCAAAATATAGCTCTCATATCCCTCTATCATAATGAATATATGACATAATACGTCTTCTATTCTACATAATACTACATAACCATCTCCATTAGATACTTACATATTTAAATTTAAAAAAAAAAATACAAAAATATGAAATTGGTTCTAATAGATCAAAAATTGTAGTATATTATATCATATCATTACATCGGTCGTAGGATAATAAAATTGCGAAAGAGTCTGATAAAATCAAATTATTTAATAATGTTTCGATTTTTTTGTTTTTGGTTCACCAAAGACTTGAATTAAATGTAAGTATCCATCTGTGACCATAAAGTATTTAATATCTTGTTTCTTGTTAAATCCACCATAGGAGTTTATGAATTTCAAGTACTGCTCATGAATTTTGGTCACATCAAATTTACTAAAATACACAAAATAAAATCTATATGAGAACATATTCCGTAATTTTACGTAAAATGCAATTACTTACTCCGGTGCATCTTCAAAAATATTGTAATACAAATTTATAAATGCTGTAGCCACTTCATTGAATTTAGCCTCCTTATCGCTGCTGCTCAAACATTTTTTTATTATTTTCAATTTGGCATCAACGTATTTTGTGATGTCATCCTTCTTGCGTATAAATCTTGGAGTTAGTTTCTTACGAATGGCGTTGCCAATCTTAGCAGCTTTGCTTGGGGATTTTGGGCTAGACATCGGGCTAAATCTTGTACTACTGATTGCGCTAGAGATTGGAGACGATGTACGACTGTTGCTCAGACTAGAAACTCTGTTCAAGCTAGAGCCACGACTAGAACCAGCATTCTTACCTATAGAAGAAAGAGAGCTTGGAAAAATATAGAAAATAAAGAAGTTAGTTCATTGGTGATATTCTCCATTGAGTTTGATTTACTTCGGTTCAGTGACATATAAATCCACCAATTTTTGGAACTCGTCATAAATAAATTGATCTGTATGAAAATCGCTGTCTTCAACGATTCGTCTCACTTGCAAATAGAAATAAATTAAATACACCTCGTTTTTCCTATATAATTGAAGGGAAAAATAAACCATTAAACCGATCAAGATACAAGATCAGAACTATCTCTTATCAGAAGCTAGTGTTTAATAGCGCAAATTGGGCTATTTCCACTTGAATTGCATATTTTTAGCGAAATACATTATTTTTTTTGATCTTACTTGAATCTAGTGTCATTTGATTCAGCCAGCAAAAGAAGAGCTTCGGTAAAACGATCCTTAACTTCATCCATAGCTACATTCACTTTATGTACGGCAGTTGCTTTCTTTATATCAGAAATATTTCTGCTCCATTTGCTCAAAAAATATTGAATATAATTATGCATGATATCTCTGAAACGAAAATACATAAAATAAATTGCAAAATTGCCCGAAAAAAAATAATTGAATTTAAAAATCGTACAAGTGTTTTTTAAGAATGATATCCTTGTGAACATTTTGGAATTTTGTATTATTGAGCGCTATTTCTTGGCGTGCACCGTCATCCATGTATACTTTCATCATATAATGACCTTCCCACGCAGTTGAATCGAGTTCTCGGAATTTTTGGCATGGTCTATGTTTTGCAATTAAAAACAAAATCATTTTTTGTGTCGATAACCAGAGCTGTTATGGGAACCGTAAAGGTACGGGCAAGTTTCTTGTAATTGCTACTGTTTCAGGTGCGACACTTGAAAAATCATATGTGTCATTCAGCACCTCGACGGTTCCAATAATAGCTCTGCCGATGAGAGGAGATTTCAAAGACATTACAGAACATTGTTGCCTTTATCATATTCGTCCAAAAATGTTTTGAACTTTTTTGCATAGGTCTCTGCGTTTGTCTTATATACCGCATTTGGATCATTTGAATTTGCTGCTGCTTTGTGTTCAGTTTCTTTGTTCCTCAATTCATTTGCTAATTCTTCAAATGGATAGCTAACGCAAAAATAAAACTCAATGAAAATAATAAAAAAAACCTTGGAAAAATAATGAAACAAAAACACTTAAAAATTCTTCATTGAAAAAAACTCACGAGCAATCAACTCCATTCCATATGAAAATCACGTTCACAATGAGAACTAAAGTAAGTTTTGTCTTCATGATTTATGGTCGATGAAATACTGGTTTTGAAGATTCTATTGACAATCGCTTATATACCATTTGCATATATACGAGTAAATACACGATTTTTTCTCTTTTTTATTCTAATTGCAGAAGTAGGCAAATCGAGAAAAAATTCATTAGAATTTCAAAACAATTTTTTTAAGACAAAATGTGTTTTGGGAAAAATGAACGTTGACGTCATATTTCATTTCAATTTTCGAGAATGTTTACTCATCAGAAAAACAAATTGACATTGTAAAATATTTTTAATTTTATGTGATGACAGCTGGGTAAGTTTTAACGTAAAATGCTAACTTTTTTTTCGTATTGAACTGCTTTTTATTACGCACATATAATACATATCAATGATTACATGCAAGCGTTCAAAAAGACATACATTTATGCGAGCAATTGAATGATGCTTGCATCATTTGATGCGCATCGCTAGTGCTTTCGTTGTGCGTTCGGAGCACTTCGTGCGCTGCCGAAGATCCGAATGTATGGCAACAGCACAATCGATGCGCATCAAATGATGCAAGCATCATTCAATCGCTCGCATAAATGTATGTCTTTCTGAACGCTTGATTACATGAATGTTATCTTAAATTGGAATTCTTTCCAAGTGTAAACTTTCGTTCTACTTGACTGAAAATGGTTTCAATTAAAAATATTGATATGTAATTTTTTCACTCTTTTTCTTTCCGAATATTGATTAATATCTTTGCGATGTACGATCACTATCTCGGCTATATGTATCAACCCTTTTAACTTTCCTTGGTCCAAAAATGCGTATAAAAGTTGGATGCGCTATGTATATGATGTAAGTATTCATTTCTTCTTTTGTAGTTAAGTTATGCATATAAATTGCCAGAAAATCTCTAACTAAATCATCGAAATTGTCAACAACAAATTTTCTGCAAAAAATGAAAAGAAAATATTATTTTTAAAAAAATTTGTTGGATTTTTCGTGTTCCTTACTCGGGTGCATATTGATAGATGTAATGATATAAGTTGATTATTTCATTTGAAATCAAATTAAATGCAGCAATAAGGTTGCCACTGTATCTCATTTTTCCTCTCAGATCCTTGACTTTAGTCTGCAAATACTTTGTGAATTCATCTGGATTCTTGGCAATGAATTTTGGAATTGGTATTTTTTTCTTTGTGAGCGGTATTGGTATTTTTTTACTGCGACTTGGGCCAAAATTCAGCACAGCAACTGATGATGCATCTGACATACGTTTGTTCACTAGATTCTGATACCCTTGCAAAACGAGTGCATCCTCGTGGAATTTTTTCGTGCCCTTAGCACGTTTCGCTATATTATAGAAATAGATGAACGCTATCTCAAATCGCCTATTTATTAAAAGATAAAAAACAATCAAAATCAATCATAACAATATAAATATTTGTTATAATTAAAAATGTTATAAAAAAGAAGAGATAATCTTTATTTTTTTCTTACTTGAATCGATCCTGTGGACAATTTGTATCCGCAATTACTTGTAAAGCTTCAAGATAAAGTTCACGAACTTTTTCTACTTGTACTTTTCCCAAAGATATGGGCGCCTTACACTTTTTCACCGACGAGTCTCCAAACATGTGAATAACCCAATCGCTTAGAAAATAGTAAATTTTTCGAAGAACGTCACTGGAATCAGAAAAAAAGATGGATTTTTTAATCGAATAAAACGTGTTCAGTTCTGATTTAGATCCATACGTATTTTTCATGTGAAGATGAGGAAGATTGAGAGTCTGAAATTCGGTTCCATTCAGCGACATTGCATTAGACAAATTTTCAGACGCATATAATTTCATCAGGTAGTGACCATTCCATGCTTCATGGTCAAGGTTCTCAAATTCCTCGGATAATCTGTTATTTCAAAAGTAATGAAAATAAGAGAAATTGAGATCGAAACTAGAACAGAAGGTTATTCAATTTGTAATACGTTTTATCTTTTAATTTCTCCAAAAATGCAATGAACTGCTTAGCATATGCATCGGCACCATATTTATAAACAGCATTTGGTTCTTTGCTGCTATCTTTTGCATCCTCATTGTTTTGAATAAGTTTGGCATTTAATTCGCTCGCAATATCGCCAAATGAATCGCTGCACCATAAATGATTGAATTAATAAAAACATTATCAAAATAACTAACACAAAAAAGGGAAGAAAACGATAGTTATCGATAAAAAATCTATTACGATTTTACTCCATCCCAAAATAGAAATAACGTTACGATAACAAAGCAAATTAGTTTCGCCATCTTCACTATGTACAGTTGATAGAAACCACTTGTAAACAACAGACGCTCGATAATCGCTTATATACCATCTCAATTTGCGTAATCCAAGTATAAAAATGTTGAAAATTACCCATTAAGTTGATGAAAAATAAAATTCTCGAAGGCGACGAAGCAAAGAATGAATGCCAACGAAATGAATTCTTCGATGAATTTTCTTCATCGGAATTTGAATATCATTATAA